CACAAAGGGGCAGAGAATACAGAAGAGGCCTAAGGGTCCCCAAAGCCCTGCTCATAGCCCACAGCATGTAGCTGTAGGTTTGAAGCTTCTCTCCTGGAGGGCTGGGATCACAGAAATGCCACGGCAGGGTTCTCAAAGAGCCTTCAAGGTTGGTGCTGGGTCCTGGCTGGCTGGGGGCCTTCTGATGTGAGCAGAATCTGGGGCGTGTGGCCTGGCTAGGGCACAGTTCTGAAGAATGCACACATGAAGCCTAGCTTACCAGTGTTCAGGGGTGTGCGAACAGTCTGCCACATTGGGGGCGGATGGCTATATTCAAGTAGTTCCACAAACCCCCAAAGGGAGTCTGTAACTGCTCAGAGCTCTCCATGGTAAAATATTTACTAGGCAAATAAGTGAGTTCTCTCTCCCTCCGGGCACCCAGTGCTGCTTCATGCTGTTAATCTCTTCAGGAAATGCAAGAACGTGTTTTCATACAGACTGGGAAGGCGTGAGCTGCAGTTGAGGCCACAGGCTTAGAAAACTGCCGTGGCAGCCTGAGCTCCCGGGAACATCCATTCCAGGTAAGTCAGGAAAACAGATGCTTTCCTTTCCACCCAGCAACACCTAGGATCTTTAGAAAAAAAAAAAAAATGTCTGTCTCTCTTACAGCGTCTGTGGTCTGGTGTATTGGCCGTAACCATCCCCAGGTGACCGGTCACCAGATAGCATCTGCTATCACCAGATGCCATTACAACCCCAAACCACACAAAGACCACGCTGCCCAGTTGACAGAGTTACTGCCTCCAGACTTAGTACTTGTGTGAGACGGTCAGTTTTGTCATCTCTGGAATCAACTAAGAGACAGGGAGGTGAGGGCATTCCCAGGAAGAGGGGGGACTGCTCCAGAGTGGGCAGCACCTTCCAGCAGCCCAGATACACAGAGACTGGCAGGAAAAGCAGAGCTCTGCTTTCCTGCCTTTGCTCCCTCCCTGCTGGCAAATGCATCTGCTCTTACGTTGCTGCTGTTACTGCCACTCTTCACTGACATCGGGACCCAATTTCTTTAGACTTCCAACGTCCTCCAGGCCCTAGGCACCAGACTGGGACTTCTGAGATATCAGACTCAGGGACTGACAAGCCACCCAGTTCTCGGCCTCTCCAGCATGCAGATGGCTACTGTTGGCTTCCCCAGCCTGTCTCTAGTTAATTCCCTTTGTGATATATACTCATATCAGTTCTCTTCTTCTATTGAACACTGACTGATACAGGGTGCTACAAGGATGTAAATATCACCTATTTCCTCCCTATTGGTTTGTAATTTCCCGTGATGGCCCCACCAGGACTTCACATCACACTCAATGGTCCCAGCTGAGAGACTAGGCCAGTGAGTAAGGATGCTTGCTATGTCAGCATGAGCTCACGAGTACCCACATAAAATCCCTGGTACCCACGTAAGAAGTCAAGCGTGGCTGTATGTGCATGTCTGTGACCCCAGCACCTCGGGGGACAGAGAAAGGAGGGTCACTAGAGCTTGCTAGCCATCAGCCTAGCTCCAGAGTCACTGGGAACAAAGCAGAGAGTGATAGAGCAGGACACCCAGGGTCCTCCTCTCCCTCTGTGTGGGCACAGGTGCCCACACCTGAATACCCGTGGACACACACACACAGGGCCCGTGTGTGTGTGTGTGTGTGTGTGTGTGTGTGTGTGTGTGTGTGTTTTGCTGCACAAGCTAAGGGAGGCATAAATGGGGAAACTGAGGCCTGGGAACACAAGTGACTTTTTATAAGTCCATTTAGTTAGTAATGGCAGGCTGGGGTCTGAGCACTGGCCATGAAGCTTTTGGGCTTTTACTCATCACCTGCTTTTTCTCTGCCTTATGATAATGTGGAGCCGAAGCCTCTGGGAGAAACGTCAACCGCACTCCTAGACCTGAGCCATGCAAATGGCACATCACAGCTGCCTCCTCCTGCCTAAACAAACCTGCTTAAAGGGATAGCCTGCCAAATATGTGTGCTTCCCTCTTACTGTTTTCAGGGCCTCACATAGCCCAGGCTAGCCTTGAACTCACTAAACTCGCCGAGGATAACCTTTAACTTATCTTCAGGTCCTCCTGCCTCCACGTCCGCAGTCCTGGGATGGCGGTGTGCCTCCACACCCAGTTTACCCAGGGTTCCGAGCATGCAAGCACTCTGGCAACAGAGCTACTCCCTGAACTCCACAGAGCAGCGGTTCCCAGCCTTCCTGCCGCCGTGACCCTTCAGTGTGGCCTCTCACGTTGTGGTCACCCGCAACCATAAACTTATTTTGTTGCTACCTCATAACTGTCATCATAATGTAAATATTTGATTTGCAGAATATCCAATATGTGACCCCCCCCCCAAGGGGCAGAGACCCACAGATTGAGAACCACAGCCAGGCCCTGTAAAATTCCTCTCTGCTTTCTCTTGTATGTCCTCCCTCCACCTCATGTGAGCTCTGCACAGGCCCTACCAGCAAAGCACACCCCAAGAGCCACCACTTCACCTCAGCTAGCCCCCCAGGCCCAGAAACTATATAAACCCTTTTCCCTTAAACACCTGCCTTAATACTGCACTGAAAATGCCATCATTTCCTGTGGGACCCAGGTAGCTGCAAACCCATTAGACCCAGCCTACCGTCCACTTGGGGGCACTAGGCTCATTTGAAAACCATGTCACTTCCTTCTCGGGGTCTAGCATTTTGCTGACGAGAGAAGCGCTGTGAACCTAAGGAGAACAACCCTTTATTTTTGTAAACTACAGTCTTGGCATTCGATCATCGCTGCAGCAGAGAGCAGGAGGCTTCCTCTGAATCTTACAGGAGGACCCCAGGTAAGAACCTGGCCCTGTGTTTGCGTGGGAGGCACTCGGGTGAGAGACTGGAACTCTAGAATTGTGCTCCAATGCCCGAAATGTGGCCTGCTCTGCTGTGGCCTTGTGGGGAATGCTCCTGGGAAACTGGGTGTCCGGCTCTGTTTGTTTCACGGTGATCTGCTGCCTGCGGCCCTGCTGAGAGCAGCCTCTTCCCAAAGCGTGGTTTGCTTCTGTGCTGACCACCTGCTCCGAGGACATTTCCCTAGCCCTGGCCTGAGCCCACTGGGCTGGCTCCAGATGGGGCTTGCTTCCTTTTCCAGCCAGAGCTCCTTTCCTCAGGGGCTTCCATAGCCACTGTGATTGTGGCTACAAGCATTTGCAACCTCAAGGCCACCAGGCTCAGAAGCTCTTTGCTCATGGCAACACTCATATCTGGTAGCTGCAGAGATTCCGCCATGGGAGGTCAAGGAATGGACAGGCCTTGGCCTCCTGGAGTGGATGATTGGGTGTTATCCTGGCCCACCCAAAAGAGGCAAGCACTCCTCAAAAACACACCCTTTGGGCCTCTTTCTCTGTGTTGCAGGAGATGCATGGGTTTTCAGACGTGTGTGTGTGTGTGTGTGTGTGTGTGTGTGTGTGTGTGTATGCTTGTGTGTGTGCATACTGTATGTATGTAGGGTACTGAACACCACCTTAGGTGTGGTTCCTCAGCTACTGTCCACTTTGTTTTTTGAGGCAGGGTCTCTCACTGGCCTGGGACTTCCCAGTTTGATGAGGCTGCCTATGCAGCGAGTCCATGGGCTCCACCTGTCCACACTCCCGGTGCTGGGATCACAGGCATGTCTCGGCATGCCTGAATTCCCTTCACACGGCTTTTAGGAGATCCACCCTGGGTTCTCATGTTCACATAGCAAACACTCTACGGAGACACCCCCCAGTCCTCAATCTCCTGAAAAATTTTCTGAGACTTATTTTTTTTAGGTACATGGATGTCTTGCCTTCATGTATGACTGTGTACCATATGTGTGCCTGGTGTCCATGGATATCAGAAGAGGGTGTCAGATACCCTGGAGTTAGAGCTCGTTTGTGAGCTGTCATGTGGGTGCTGGGAATCAACCCTGGGTCCTCTGAAAGAGCAGCCACTCTTAACTGCCAAGCCCTCTCCAGCCCCTGAATCTGTCTTTAATAAAAGTGGAATTCTTTCTTTAAACCAAGTCTTCCACTGGCAAAATCAAAAGCAGCCAATAGCAGTGACTTGTGTCACCCGCTCATGATTTCAGATGAAGAATTTTACTGGGAACTTCCCAGTAAAATGGGGACCAGGTGGACGTCCCCAGGGACCTGGGTCTGCCCATATTCTGTGACCTTTTTCCTGAAGTGCCTGGGTTTCCTTGTGTCACACTCTTCAGCACATGCTTGCCCATAATCCCCATCTGGCCCATCTCTGGGTCCTCTCTGCTCTCAGGCAGAAGCCACCAGAGGCCCCTTGCTCCCAGGGCTGGGGCCATGGCTCCCCTTCCCCACCCCAGACTCAGCTCCACCCGCCCCAACCTCCATCCAAGTTAGTGACTCTGGATCCTGTCAGCCATCACTTGCAGTAACTCTTCCTTCAGGCGGCGGGGGTGGGGTGGGGTGGGCTGAGAATGAGCAGGCCTCACGCAGTCCTGCCTTCCACCAGGCAACAGGAGTGAGCATGGACTCTTAACTGACTTATCGAGAGGGTAAACCAGTAAAGGCGCCGACTGGCGCCGTTTGCTGGCTCTCCACCAGCCTCCTCAGAGCTGCGTCTGGCTCTGTGAAGTCAGATGCCTGAGGTTCACATGTCATCCCGGCAGCCTCTCCCACGGGTCAGCTCGGGCCTCATAGTGGGAGACAGATGCTTCCAAGAGCCAGGTCAGCGCCGACTATGAAAAACTAGCCTGCCACCTCCCAAACACCTCCCACAGCCTGGAGTGGAAGGGGGTCGATTACGAATGGGCTTGCCATGGACCGCAAACAAATGGAGGGAAATCTGGGTTAATAAAATGTAAATTTCACTGCAGGAGAAAGCCTCCGTGCCCTCCTCAGGAGCAAAGGAGGCCTGTGGTGCTCTGTGCCCGGGGTGCTGCTGCGCTGTGATTGTGTCCACTCCTCACCGTCTAACAGAAACGGGAGGGAACAAATCTCTCGCCCTTTCCCAGCGCTCCTTACCCAGAATCACACCGTTGGGCTCCTCTGGGGGCTGCCACACGATCCGTACTGCAGTGAGTCTCACTTCGGGGAACACCAGCCGCACGGGGGGGCCTGGGGCTGAAGGGAGACACAGTGAGACAGGGGGTTCCGTGGACAGCCCCGTGCTCCAGTGACCACCACGGTCCTCCCTGTGGTTTCCTTTTTTATTTATGTTTAAAATAATCAATCTGCCTTTCAAAATGATTAATTTATTATTCATGTGTTTTTGTCTGTGATTTATGCTGCGTGTATGCAGCATGTGGCTAAGGAGGCCAGAAGAGGGCATCAGATCCCCTGGAGCTGGAGTGACAGGCAGTTACGAGCTGCCCAATATGGGTGCTGGGAATCGAACACAGATCCTCCGAAAGAGCAGCAAGCATTCTAGTTGCTGAGTCATCTCTCCAGCCCTTATTTTTAATTTTATACCTGGCTCTTTATGTGGGCTTTAGGGGATTTGAACTCAGGTCCTCATGCTTATTCAGTAGCTGTTTACTGAAGATAAAGGTGATTTGTCTTTCCAGTCCATGTTATCAAGGAAGGACTTCTGGACCCTCACTGGCTCTGTATAACTGTGATGGTTTTGAATCCTGCCCACCTGGTTTAGAAAACCACGTTCTGAAGCTACACTTGTATGACATAACAAACAGCTCACAGCAACACTAGCCCGAGGGTCACTTATGACTTTGAGGTAAGTATTTCACCACTGTGAGTCCAGATTCCTTTGCTGGGTTTGACATTCGTAGAGCAGGCGATTGGCAACTATGATGGTTACTAACCATTACCTTGACAGGGGGATCTAGAATCAGGTAGGAGACACAGCTCCAGCCATGTCTGTGAAGGGCGTTCCAGATTGGGCTAACTGGGGTTGGAAGACACACTCTGAACACGGGTGTCCCTGTCCCAGGGCTCAGAGCCTGGACTGTATAAAAAGGAGAAAGGAAGCTGGGCTCCAGCAACCCTCTCTCTGCTTCCTGACTGTGACACAATGTGAGCAGTTGCCTCAGCCTCCTGCTCATGCCTTCCCACCATGATGGACTGTGCACCCTCCAACTGTGAGCCAAATAAAGCTTCCTCCTTAAGTTGCTTTTGTCAGGTACTTGGGTACAGCCAGGACAAAAGCAACCAATGCAACAATGTATCCCTTAGCCCCCACAGCCACTGATGAAGCACGTTGACAATCTGCGCTTCCTGGCCTACGCTTGCCTCACTCACCTGCCTTAGAAAATTAAGAGCTGGTGCTCACAGATGCGTATAATAATTCTTCTCTGTGGCTCAGTGCGCAGATAATTTAAAATGCGGTTATGTCTTGTGGAAAGACTAAGTAATAGGGCTTCAGCCCTCAGGAAACAGATTTGTTTAAGCGAGCAGGCAAGTTAGTGTGTGGCCCGTGCGAAGCCTTCTCATGGGACGTAATCACAGATCAATCTCCACGCAACGGCACGGAGCAGCTGATGCAGAAACAGGATACGGGGAATGCCCATTCTGGGCAGGTGAATGTGGACCTGTGTGCTGTTACCTCTACACGGGGGAAACAAATGTTCAGAGGAGGCCACAGGCTCAGATGTCAGGACTAATTTATAACGCCGGTGTGACATAGCAGTGACCTCCTGCGTTGTCCCTGAGGCTGAATGGATTGTGTCAAAGTGAAGAAAGAAGACATGTTTATATAAATAATAAAACAGCAAAAGAAAAACAAACATTGCCTGAGTAGAGGGGTCCTTTAGGAAGAGTAATGGCAGTGAACACGGACGGAGTTTCTAAAAGCTCTCTCTCTCTTTTCAGGGGACTGAGCTGGAATGCGCACACACGGGCGATGGGTACGACTTGCGGCTAGCATGGACCAGTCACTGTGCCCCTGTGCTTCCCACCTGCCTCTAACCCCTTGCCTTGGAGAAAGCTGAAGGAGTCATCCTACAGAAGCAGTGAGGGTTGTGACAGTGAACATGACAGGCTCTAGAATCACCTGAGAGACATGTCTGTCTGTCCTGGCACATCTGTGACAGATTTCCTAGATTAGGCTAACCGAGGTGGGAAGACCTATCCCAAGTGTGACCAACACCATCCCGTGGGCTGGGGTCAAAGACTGAGTCAAAAGGGAGGAAGCGAGCTGAGCATCAGAATTCACCCATCTCGGCTTCCTGACTGTGATTACAATGTGACCGGCCGCCTCCGCTCCTGCCACTGTGCCTTCCTGCCGGAGTGGCCAGGACCCTCAGACCGTGAGCCAAATCAGCCCTCCTTCCACTAGGCTAAGTAAATAATACAGAGCCAAGGCTCGATCCACGTGCTGTGTGAAAGCGGAAGACGGGCATGCTGTGGCTCATTAACCATACCAAGGTGCTTAAGCAACACTATCGTTTCCATTCTGTCAGACACTTCTGATCCCGAGGTGGGTGCTTGGGCCGATCGGTATTTTCCCCCTGACATATTCATTATGGCCTGTTTAATAACGATCGTGCGAAGGAGCTAACCTTTAAGTGTTTGACATCTGCAAAGTGGAAAAACATATTTACTGATGATTTAGGTTCCCATAAAAACAAAGCCAGTAAGATGTGCTTGTTACTCAAATCTGGAAGCACCGGAGCTGGGGGCCCCTGGGTGCTGTCAAACATGTTGCTCTTTAGCAGGAACTTGTAATTAACAACCCGAATGCAAATGTTGAGGCCTGCACTCCCCATGAGAATGGACACAGGTCCAGAGGGGAGTTTTCATCTGGATCTGTAGAGCTGTTACCAAGAGGATGGGCTCATGCTTCATACCCTAGCCAACCCTCACAAGCGCCTGCCCATAGCATAGTCAGGACCGAGATTCCGCACAGTCCATAATCGGGCTGTAACAATCGTCTCCAGGCTCAAATTTGCCACATAAATGCCCAGTGACTGGAAAGTAATTTTTGTTTTGTTTCTGTTAACTAGAAAAAAAAAAAAGTGTTTGAAAAATTTACATTAAAAACAGCTGCAGTCTGATTGGTGTGGCTTGGGGAATTAAGCCAGAAGGCCGCAGCCATGTACTTACTGTCGTCTTTGGTGCGCTCCAGGACGAGGGGCGAGCTGGGGACACCGTTCCCAATTCGCGTGAAGGCCAGCACCTGCAGCTCGTACACCACGAACTTGCGCAGGCCGGCCAGCAGAGCAGACTGCGTGTGATTCCCTCGAACCATGTGGCTTCTCGGCTCCGGGTCCAGGTCTTTGGCTCGGTACAGAATCTGAAGCGTCACGTGCAGACGGTTAGGCTAATCGGGTGCCCGGATGGGCACTCCATGCGACAGGCTACCAGCAAGGACCCAACCCACGGGCTCTCCTGCATGGGGGCAGCTGTGTTGAGGGAGTTTGGGATCTCATTTCTATCCACTGGCATCTAGGCGAAAGGTGGCCTTGAGGCACCTATACTGCAGAACAGTGGCTGTTGTCACACAGATCTGTCCACAGCCTGGTGATCTGGCTGCCCGGGCACAATTTGGCAAGATCTGAAGCTCTCAACTGCAGCCATGCCAAATGCTCTCACTGAAGCTTGGTCTTGGGCACAGACCTTTTGCTTCCTATAAATGGAGCTTGTGGCTCTAAGAAGTCCCTTGAATAAAAAAAAGGGGGGGGGGGAGTGTTCCTGACCTAGCAGATCTGCTTTTCCCCATGTGAACCCAAGGCTTGCCCCCGACAGGGATGACCGGAGATGAGCTCCTCCAGGACCTCCTCCTACTCCTCCCCTCAGTCCTCCCTCTACGTTCAGCCCTATGAACTGTTCCCCAAGGTAAGTGATCCAAGCACTATAACAGAGGAGGTTATCGGGGAGACATCTGAAGACAGCGCAGGAAGCATTTCCCTGTGGGAAGCAGGGGTGTGGCATGGAGCTTTGTCCACCGAGCACACAGTAGGACTGCTGTGCAGCAGAGGACATGCAGCAGGAGGCACTGTCATGTCCCTGTTGTATGCCCTGGATCGCCACGTTCCCTGGGAGTGCCGCATAGCATGGATCCAGAAGGGAGCCTTTACAACACTTATGCAGAGGAGTGCATGTGAGCTCAGAGGAGAGCCACTGAGATTTAGTGTCAGAAAGGCAGCAGGGCAGAGTGGGTAAGCCTGCCATTCCAGCACTTTGAAAGACCATGGGGGAAGACTGCTATGAGTTCAAGGTCAGCTAGTGCTGCATAGTGAGTTCCAGGCTAGCCTGAGCTGTAGTGTGAGATCCTGTCTGATAAATAGCCCCTCCCCCCCAAAAAAAACCAGAAAGAAAACCAGTTACTGAAAGGCAAGAGGGAAAAGAATGCCTAAAACCCACTGAAGATATGTAGAAGGCATTTTCTTATTTTACTGGGGATTGAAGCCAGGGACTCATGAATGATGGACAAGCAATTAGTCACCAAGCCACACCCCAGCCCCTCACTGGGGGTTATAGGCAGGGGCTCTACCACTGAGCCACACCCCAGCCCCTCACTGGGAGATTCTAGGCAGGAGCTCTGCCAGTGAGCCACACCCAGCCCCTCACTGGGGGATTCTAGGCAGGGGCTCTACTGTTCCAGTCCAGTTGATCATCCCATGAGAGCATTAGTGAATAGAATTAGAGATGCCTATTGTGTTGCTTGGGAGACTAGAGCTAGAGAGAGAGACAGAGCCAGGAAATTGCATTGGGCACCTTTGAGAAAGAAGAAAGAAATGGGTTTTAAAGAGTCTAGACAGCAGCTTAGAAGATGGGACCCAGAGAAGCTAGGAAAAGTCCAACTCTAACAGAAGACAGCCCTGCCTAGGCTCACCCTAAATCAGCCCTCTGAAGAAGCAAAGGCCACTTCCCATAAAGCCCCCAATTTCTCATAGCAGCTCTGGGAAGTGGCAACTATGGTCATTCTCATCCGACAATGCAGGAGACGGAAGCTGCATCCATTCATGGGCCCAGGGCCCAGGATGCCTGAGCCAGGCCAGGCAGAGCCAGGACCTGGCTTGCTGGTCAGGGACCCACTTGCATTTGTGCCCTGGCTGATGCCTGGGGAGCAGTTCTCCTAGTCCTTCCCAGACAGGATAGACGATAAAGTCAGGAACTGGCCCAGGTGACAGATCTCTGACATCTCCCCATTAGCCCAGAAGGCGGAGCAAAGTCAGCATGAGCACCAACCTTGTAGCCCAGGATGAGCCCATTCTGGTCCGGCTCAGGGACGGAAGCCCACGTCAGTAGGATCTGGGTGGAGCTGACGGCCTCCGCGGACACATTCTCAGGAGGAGCTGAAGGGACTGCAGAAGAAAGCACCACACGGTTGGCATCAGCAGTCACTGGCTGGCTCTGAACAGAGGGGCATTTTTAGACACACACACAGGCACACACACATGGACACACACCACACACATGCACACGCACATGCGTGCACACAGCACACACACATCCATCAGGATATCCTTGAAACAGCAGTGGTTCTGAGTGCTATGTGTGGATCAGATAAGCCTGTAGGTGCACAGAACATATGTAAATCTCTTTATTATGAGCAACAAATTCCGTAAATCCTGGGTATTTAGAACTCAATTCTACCTAAGCCCAGCCAGCAAGAAAACGCGCTCCGTCTGTTTCGGGTAATAACTTAAAGAGCTGTAGGCTTTTATCTCGAACAGGAATTCCTCAATTTCATATGGCTACTAGCTTATTGAGATGGCCAAGCATGGAGGTCCGTGAGGGCTGCAGAGAGGAGGTGGCTGGAGGGGGTGACGGACGGAAGGCTGGACCCAGGGATTCTTCGGCTGTGTATGGGGGAGTGTGTTTATCTCTGTATGTGTGTGTCTGTTAGCTGGAGGCGGACTTTGGGTAACACCCCTCAGGACACCGGCCATGTTGTGCTTTAGACGGGCTCTCTCACTGCTGCCTGGGGCTTGCTGGTTTATCTGGGTGGACTGGCCAGTGAGGCCCAGGGAGCCTCTTACCCCCTTCCCCCAGTCCTGGATTTTCTATATGGGCTCTGGAGCTTGAACTCGGGGCCTCACCCTTCCACAGCAAATGCTTTACCAAATGAGCTGTCTCCCCGATCTCAAATAAAAAAACTTCGGACAGATCACCGTTACTCAAGAGAAGGGGGAAGGGAGGTGCTGGTCAAGACACAGCCTAACAGAACAAGCTGGGAATGACACTGGGTGGAACATCATCCATTCTTCTCCCTCTACCCACAGGGATCTTCCTGGAGGTGGAATCATGGCAGAAGTCACTGGCTGCCCACTTGTCCAGCACCACAGAGGCAGCACCTAGGAGGTGGCCCTGCTTTCCTAGAGACACGAAGAACCTCTCCTAACCCACTCAGCCTGGCCAGGATGGGTCTGTGAGCACGGCCCAGCATAAGAACGCCGTATGAGTACACTTCAAGGATGGAGCTCGGCGATCCTCCCGGTGTTCGGAAGGGCAATGATTGACAGTCAGCCCGACTAGAAGATGAACCTTCTTCCCAGACATGGCCGTTGAAAGTTATCCAGCAAAATAAGATGTGAATGAGACACACATGTCACAGGTAAGGACTGTTGCTGGATAACATGATCATTCCATTCCGGCAGAGATCACCTGGGCTCACAGCCAAGGTAATAATTGAGCAGAAGAACAAACAGGAAGTATATTATTTACTTTTCTGTTGCGGTGATAAAAAGGCAACTTAAGGGTTGAGTCTGGCTCACGGTCTGAGGGTGCACAGTCCATCCTGGTGGGGAAGGTAACGGCAGTAGAAGTACAAAGCGCCTGGTCACATTGTCTCCACAGCCAGGAAGCAGAGAGAGATGGATGCTGGGGCTCAGCTCTCTTTCTCCTTATTGCGCAGCCCAGGACGCCAGCCTGGGGAACGGCGCTGCCCATACTTAGAGAGTGCACTGTGTCTTCCCACCTCTGTTAACTTAATCTACATAACTCCTCACCGGCGTGTTCAGAGGCTTGCCTCCTAGGTGATTCTAGATCCTGCCAAGTTGACACTATAGGTCATCACAGGTGGCCATGTCAGTTGGTTGGTGGAGCTATTGATGGTCTCAAGTCGGAAGAGAGTCACCAGACCCTCACCTAAGATTCCAGCCATCACTCCCTTCTGGCCTTCCTCAGCTGCAAGGCATTGTGGGAGATGCTAGGTTCTATAAGAAGTTGCAAGTTGACCGACAGGGAGACTGTGCTGCAGTTTCCTTGGGGCCATCATCCTTGATGGGTGGGTTGTGTCCTTGATGGGTGGGGCTTTGCAGCGATTCAGCCGCTTTGGGTCACTCACGATCCCGCCAGTAACACTTCACCTATGCTCGCAGGGAGCCCAATAAACTTACTGCTTCCCCAAGGAGGACTTGGCTAGAACCATCGCTTTGGAACGTGGCTGGCGCACCAGATGGTGATCAGCTGTTTGTTCGTGTTTCCCTAAAAGAGTCAGTGCAACTACCATTGATGACTTGACTCAGTTCTCAGAGGCAGAGGGCTTGTCTGTGCTCCACCTGCAGGGCTCCCTGGTCACCTTAAATGCTACTGCGGCCTTGCCTGAAAAACTGCTTACGTAGATGCTTATTTTATTTTAATTTTTAAAAAGCGATAAAACAGTACTTTGGATCACTAAGTAAAAGGGGCTGCTATTGTTACAAGCGTGGAAGCATGCTGTTTATCAGACTCCATTTTCTGACTTGATTTAAAATAAAATTGCAACCCCAAATGTGTTGTATGCCTGTTACATTTATGCTGTGTTCTGAAAACTGTCCCTGTTCTTTAAAGAGAGAGAGGGCATCGTCATAGCAACCCAATTGGTTCACCTCTTGGCCCCCCACCTGTTTCCTATGGGCCAATCTTGGCAACTCTTAAGTGCCTACTCTGAGATGCGGTTACGCGATCATTCACTCACAGGAGGCCCAACTGGGTCTCCAAAGAGCCAGGGCAACCTGGAGACTTAGCGCTGGGCTCAGAACCTCACAGTTTACCACCTGGAGAGAATCTGCCAGGTAGGGCTATTAAGTATAGGAAATGCCATATTTCCAGATTGAAATTTCAGCTGATTCAAATTCCCCTGGAACAAAGCCTACCTTTTTTTTTTTTTAGATGTAAAGAAGAAGAATTGTACCCATTATCTGTTCCCAGGAACATTTGACTTCTTTTCCAATTTATCCTAAGTTTTGATATGTTCTTAGAAATTCTCCTTTCATCAAAACCAAAATGGCCCAGCATGCTTATTTTCTCTTTCTCCACTTGATTTTTTTCCCCCTTCAGGGAGGTCTCCCTGCTGTTCTCCACTGCCCCGTGGGGCCTCTCTTAGCTGTTCATGTCTCATTTATCTTTATAATACGTCACAGAACCCGTTAGACCACACTTCAAACTATTAAACTTCATTTAAACGTGGTTCAAAAATGTTTGGTTTTGCTTCTAACCCCCTTTTGGGTATTTCTGTGTATTGTGAGATTATTCTTTATGTTTTTACATTAGTGTGTGTGTGTGTGTGTGTGTGTGAGAGAGAGAGAGAGAGAGAGAGAGAGAGAGAACATACATGTGGGTAGGACTTCACATACTGTAGCATGCATGTGAAGGTCAGAGGTCAACCTACAGGAATCAGCTCTCTCTACTCTGTGGGTCTTAGGGATTGAACTCAGGTTGCCAGGTTTGGGGCAAGTGCCTTTGCCAGATGAGCCATCTTGCTGGCCCAGTGACATGAAGTCTCAGGGAAGACTTTTGGTTAACTGATGTGAGACTTTCTGGACACAGGTGGGTGCCATTGGTCTCCTCCCCAGCTCACTCTATCATGCACCCCCACACCTCAAACGGCCAGCTCCTGCAAAGTGCCCCTGTGACTCTGTGCCAACCAAGAATGCTGGGCACTGCCTATCAGGAAGGAGCTCTCTAGCGGGGAGGGCTAAGGGGTGAAGATTGGTGAGTCACAGAAGTCAGCGTGAAGGAAGCCCCAGCTCTGACTTCTAGCAGCGCATAAACACGGTGTGGTGGAAATTCCCCTATAGTCCCAGCAAGCTTGTAAGACTGCCACGGGGGGGGGGGTAAGGGAGGGGGGGAGAGAGGGAGAGAGGGAGGCAGAGGGGGAATCAGGGGTTCAAGGTCATCCTCAGCTATAGAGAGAGTTCAAGGCTAGCCCAGGTCACACTAGAATCAAAAGAGAGGAATAATAAAATAAAGAGTCCAAATTGCTACAGCTGGGAAGGGCATGCTGGCCCAAGGGAGAGGCCCCCAAGGCAGGAGGTAGAGAAGCTGAGTCCTCCGGGACCATCAGCACAACAGTGGCCCCCACTGGAGAGTCTCCGGGTGTGTGTTGTAATTCATGCAGCCCAGAGCGACCGGTTTAGACTGTCTATGCCTGTGAGGGATCAGCTGGATTAGACAGAGGTGAGGAACCCCAGGCTGAAGGAGGGGAGCACCACTCCAGGGGCTAGGTTCTTGGACTGCATAGAAGGAGGAAGTGATCTGAGAGCTAGCGTTCACCGCTCTCAGAAGCCTGTTTGCACTCCCCCGCCAAGGCAACTGTGGCAGCCCTGAGAGCTGCAACCAACCCTTCCTTCCCCAAGTTTGCTTCCTGCCTGGTATTTTATCACGAGGGAAGAGTATGCCTAAGGGTGAGCTACCTGTTTTAAGTGGTAAGTTTGTGTTTCAGATTTTGCACAATCCAACTGCTGCCCGATGCATAAAGCTCTGATCCCTCTGCAACCCTGCAAACATTCACTAAGCCGTGCTTTCCGTTTTGACCTTCTTGTGGGTCTGAAGTGGCATCTCTGTACGACTTGGATTTGCATTTCTTTCCTGGCTAATGATGCTGCGCTCCTTCCCATGTGCCCATTAGCCATTTGTCTCCGTCTCTGGAGAACTGTCTGTTCAGGCATTTGCTCCATTCTTAATAGGATCATTTGCCTTCTTATTGTGAAGTAAGAGGTCTTGGGTGTTTATATCGGAACCCCACGCCAGACATAGCGCTTGGGGAGATACCTTCCAGTTGAGGCTTTCTCATTTCCTGTATGATAGTTCCTATATTCCCATTTAAAGCCCTGACACTTTCCTTTCGATGAGGTCTAATTTATCTAATTTGCTGTTGTTTGTGCTTTTGCTTTCTGCGATCAGGCTTGTGCATGGATCTCTCTTCCGGGAGCATACAGACCACACACACAGGACATATCAGAATCCAGACCCGACACAGGCACAGGCCGGGTGCTCATCTGTTTTCTCTGCAGCCTCGGCAGATACACGTGGCTCCCTGAGGCAGGCACTTGTGGTCCCCTACAGAAGAACACTGTCTCCACACATCCATGGATGACAGGCTAGCCCTTCTGTCCCTGTGTGGGCATAGAGGGCCAGGTCCTAAAAAGACGAGGGAAGAGCTGAGGAGATGGCTCAGACAGGGAAATGATTGCCTTACCCTCATGAGGATCTGATTCTCAGTCCTCATGTTTTCCTGTTTGCTTGTGTGTCTGTTTTAAAGCAGAGGGCTGGAAGGATGGCTCAGCAGTTAGAGCACTGGCTGCTCTGCTAGAGGACTCAGGTCCCATTCCCAGCTCCACAGAGCAGTTTACAACTGTCTGTGGCTACAGTTCCAGGGGGTCTGATGCCCTCTTCTGGACTTGGCCGGTACCAGGCATGTAAGACACACATGCAGGTAAAACATACTATAAAAAGGGGAGAAAACCTGGGTGAGGTGGCTCTCAGTTATAATCCCAGCGCTGGGGAAGCTGGGACAGAGGCTCCTCTGTACTCACTGGCCAGCCAGTCCAGCCTAACTGACGAGCTCCATGACAATGAGAGAGCTTGTCTCAAAGGAGCGTGACCTCTGACCTCCACCATGTGCACCCATGCACATGGACATGCACACACATGAACAAACAAACACTCGGGGAAGAGCCACAATGGCTACCCGAGCACAGCTCCTGCTGCTACCGGCAATTTTTCTGTTTTTCTTCTGTGCCTATTGATAAAGTTTAAGACTTCGAAAAAATACTTTTTATCCTTGGCTTTCTAGTTCTCTATCCAAAGTTTTGTTTCTTCAGAGCAATGTTTTATTGGTCTGCCTACTGCTGGATTTAAAGCTGTCCCTTTCAGCCGTGCCCAGGTCCCTTCCTTGTCACAAAGACTCAGCTGAGGAAGAGGAAAGACTTTTAAAGCATCCACACGCTCACACCCCTCTAAGTCGACATCATTTCTTGCTGATACAAACAAAGCCTCATTTGGAAGAAAGCTCTGACTGGTCTTGGTAAACCCCTCTCTAAATAGGGTCCCCACAGAGGTATGCTGGTCGCCACAATGGTGGAACACTCACTGGGGGTGGGGGGTGATTCTTCAGGAATACTCACTGGAGGTGGGGGGTGAGTCTTCAGGAATACTCACTGGAGGTGGGGGGTGAGTCTTCAGGGACACTCACTGGGGGTGGGGGTGGTGAGTCTTCAGGGACACTGACTGGGGGTGGGGAGTGATTCTTCAGGGACACTGGGGGTGGGGAGTGATTCTTCAGGGATACTGACTGGGGGTGGGGGATGATTCTTCAGGGACACTCACTGGGGGTGGAGGGTAAGTTCTTCAGGGACACTCACTGGGGGTGGGGGTGCTGGGTTCCCGGACACATGCTGAGCATTCAGAGTGTTCCTGGCTGGGACGTGGCCCTGCCAGGAGAGTGTTTGCTTGGGTTCTCCAGCACTGCACAAACAGCATGGCAGGTTTTTGCCTCTAATCTCAGCACTTGTGACTAATCCCGTAGTATGTCAGAGCCCCGGTCCTTGAAAGACCCCCACAGAATACAGTTAACAACACACAGGAGCCCCACCTCAGAACCCAAACAATGAGACATCACACCCTCCACTGTGCTGAGCCTCTCAGGGGGCAGGCACTTCTTACTGCAGCAGGCCCTTGAACATACACTGTCTGCATTCATTCTTGACGAGCCGGGCTTGATGCCTGGTGTATCAGTTTCATCTCACAGGGAATTTCTGCTTCCTGCTTCTTATCACTAATAATGAACATTACCATTAACTTAAAAACTCATAAAGTGGGGTTGGGGATTTAGCTCAGTGGTAGAGTGCTTGCCTAGCAAGCGCAAGGCCCTGGGTTCGGTCCTCAGCTCTGGAAAATAAAAAAAAAAAAAACCTCATAAAGTAAGCCCAGCACCTGTTTGAATTGAAAGGAATGCCTGCCTCTAGGGGACGGCTGACACAGGTTATCGACTTGCCGGGCTGTGGAGGTGCCCAGGAGTCTAGAGCCTGGGCACACCCAAGAAGAATGATCTGTTTTAGGTCGGTCTCTGGCCGTGTCCATGAGGAATTATCCTGATTGGGTTAACTAAGAAGGAAGAGCCATTTAGGGGGCAGCTTCACTCTCTGTTCTGGATCTGTCCATACAGGAGGAAGCGAGCTCTTACATCAGTGTGTTTTATCACAGCAACAGCAAACCAAAACAGCAAACCAAACCAAAACACTGAGACAGTCTGGACAAAGCTTTGCTGAACATCAAAGCCTGTCTAAGCTGGGGTCAGGAAGACATCAGCTTAGACGCAGGTAAGACATGAGGACACTCTGCTACCCTGGGATGTGGAGACAGGACCACCAAACCTCATCTCTACTGAGGCACAGAGAACCTTGTCTCCGCACCTGCCCTCTGCCCTCTCACCTGACTCCCGTGTGCGGCCCCGAACCAGCTCGCTCCAGGGCCCAGCCCCGATGGCGTTGAAGGCCTGCATCCGCAGTTCGTACTCCGTCCACTCCTCCAGCTCCTCGATCGTCAGCTCCCTCTCCAGCCGGTCGTTGACAACCTGGGCCAGCGCTGAGGATGGCTGGTCAGAACGCCAGTACTTCACTCTGTAGCCCACAGACTCGGGGTTCCCGTTGTATTGGGAGTCAGGCAGGGGCTGCCAACAAACGACAGGCTGGCATGAGTGGACACCTCCTAACTGCCGCCTTTGAGGGGCTTCCACAAGAAACCCGTCCTATGGTGCCAACTCCGTGGAAAGCATTCTCTTAGGTGAATTTCCCTGGCGCTTTCTAGTGTCTACGTATGCACACATGTGGGTCGTGTGCATGTCCACATGTTCATACCCATGTGCTTGTGGGGGCCTCAGGTTGGTGTTGGATGTCTTCCTCTTCTCCTCCTCACTGCAGTTTTTGAGACAGGGCCTCTCAATGAACCTGGATCTCGCTGACTTGGGAAGACTCGCTGCCCAGCAAGCTCTAGGGAATCCTCCTGTCTCCACTCCTCAGTGCTAGGGCAACAGCTGGCACCCTCATGCCTGCCTTTTCATGTGGGCGCTGCGGATGAGAATTTAGGCCCTCATGCCTGCACAATAGGGACTTTACATACTGAGCCTATCTCCCTGGCCTCATCCCTGCAGCCTTCTGGTCTACCCTCCATGAACGTTTTCTTCTGTTAACTCAACAAAATTCTTTCAGTGACTTTTGCCGGAAATTATTCCCTTTCATATAGCTTGGTTGAACTTTGAGGGAGAAAATTTCTGATTAAACACTGGACTGGCTCTCTTACAAATAATTGCGTATCGGTTCTATGTTGACCAAGCTTAAGGGCTTTCAGATCCTGTACTTAGCACTTTCTGTGTCCTCCCCGGAAAGAGCACTCAGAGTTCCAAGAAGAGAGCAAACGATGATACCAATTAATAAGAAATCCGGGGCTGCTTGAGCTCTTACCCTAATCACACAGTGTAATACTTTGTGGTTTAATAATGGGATTAGCTTTGATGAGGGAACAGCCTGAGAGCGATACGGTTAAGTCCTGACTCCTGGGCAAGCAGGGAAGGCACCGCTGGCTAGTGGCTTCCACCCCATGGCCCACAACTCACCACCCAGCGCAGCCGCAGGCTGGTCTCACTGGCCGTTCGGACAGTGATACTAGTTGGAGCCACATCCGGTGGGGCCTGCAGGGTCTGGATGACTCGGGATGACTGGCTGAAGGGGCTGGGACCTACGATGTTCACTTGCCTCATTCGAAACCTGGAGGAGAAAATGTGAACCGCTGTTATTCCAAAGCAAAGGACAACAGGACAGAACAAGGCCTCCTTGGGCCCTCCTCTCACACAGGTCTTCCTGTGCAACCAAGGCCACCACTCAAGGACACCTAATTGCGCTGGTGAAAAATATAGATCAGATATAGAATACAGAGTCCATCTATGGGTAGTGTTAACTGTCAGTCTGACAGGATTTAGAGTTATCTGGAAGACATGCCCCTGGGCATGCCTGCAGGGATTACCTTGTGTAGACTCATTGAAGTGGCAGACCTGCCCACTGTGGGTGGCGCTATCCCCTAGTTGGAATCCTGGATTGTGTAAGTGGAGGAAGAGCAGTGTGCATTTACTGTTCTCTGCTTCCTGCTGGTGGAGGCCAGGTGAGCAGCTGCCTCACTCTCCTGCTGGATTAGCTTCCCCCCAGTGCAGAACAACCCTTTCCTTCCTTAAGGCGCTTTTCTCAGGGTAGTTCATGGCAGCAACAGGAAAACAAGAAGCGCCTTTCCTTAATAAAAGCCTTTAGAGAAAGGTCTCAAGAGACTCAGTATGATTTCATGGCCAGGTGAAGCAGATTTGATGGAGAAGATGGATAGAAGTTTAAGTGGTCACTTGCCATTGGCTGACTCAAGTTCAGGGTAACATGAGGGGATTAAGGTCCTTCAGAACAGAACCAAATGTCCCAATGTTGCCACCAAACACAGTTTTGAAATTCCAGTGTTTTGAATGGCAGAGGGCATTGCCAGAGTTCATACCTATCCTGGTATGTAGCACAGCTGCAAAGTGCATGTGAGGCCTTCAGTCAATCAGACTTATCTCTACCTCCTTCTAGGGTAATGGCCTTGAGTATGCTAAGCAAAAGTCCTTTACCTTTGAGTCATGCCCCCAACCCCTCACTGGAGGATTCTAGGCAGGTGCTCGACCACTGAGCACACCCCAGCCCCTCACTGGGGGATTCTAGGCAGGAGCTCTACCACTGAGCCACACCCCAGACCCTTACTGGGAACTCTAGGCAGGTGCTCTACCACTGAGCCACACCCCAGCCCCTCACTGGGGGACTCTAGGCAGGTGCTCTACCACTGAGCACACCCCAGCCCCTCACTGGGGGATTCTAGGCAGGTGCTCTACCACTGAGCCACACCCCAGCCCCTCACTGGGGGATTCTAGGTA